TAGCAATCCTCACAAAGGACTTGGCGTGAAGATATATAGGCAACATATGTGATAAGTGTCATTAAATATATGTGTATAGAAAAAAAATATATTATTTACAGAAAACTTATATAAATAGGTCAATACTAACTATGTATAATGTTAAATAAGAAAAAAAATTAACCCTACAAAAGTCATGTCCAATTTTCTTTTATTTCCCTAAAAATTGTAATCGTTTAGAAATAATATAAATAAATCAGTCGTATCATACTTATAAGATGTAATAAAAAAGAACGTATCTGGTATTTGAAAACCAAAAAACCTATTAATAAAACCTATATTCGTGTAGCAACAATTGTATAATATGTATACCTATATAACAATGTCAAAGAGGAAATGCCAAAATATTTTATATATTAAAAAAAAAATCCTAATATAACACCCACCAATGAACTCTAGTCTGCTTCAAACAAGGAATATAACGTATACATATACATATAAATAAAATAACTCACTAGCCAACAAATATGACAGATGATCAGCTACCATTTAACATTGTTTGATTGTACTGTAAAAAAAAAAATAAACCGCATAGTAACTTAACATTAACATAACTTAAGCGAACAAAAACAACTGTCTCACATTTTCAAAGCTTTAAGGAAAAAAAAAGAAAAACAATCAATAATATAAATATCATATTCGTAAACATAACAGAATAACAAAATAAACCAAAAAAGAATTTATTATCCTCTCCTCAATTTGGGTTTCTATTTTTACACTACCTAAAAACTGTATTTACAACATTTGAGTAAGACGTTTATTATATTATCGATATAATATTGAATTCCGTTTAATTGATATAGAAAAGTAAATGTTCTTTTTTTATAAGATCAAAAAAAAAAAATTTGCTCCAAATTACGAAAATGGTCGATGGCAGTACATATCAAAGACCGTCGGTAGATATTTCGTTCTCTCTATCTACCATTTAAATTACCTAACATTTTAGTTTTGGCTAATTGTAATTTCTTTAGTAAACAAGCTTTTACTGATTATGCTTTTATATATTATAAAACATATACTGTTACAAATAAATGGGAAACTTTGTAAAGATATACATGATAGACTTTACTCTCTGCTTAGTAACAAAAAATGCATCGTAATAATCAGTCGGGCAAAATTGTATTTTTATACAACAGATCTCTAGTACATCTCTAGTAGGGGTTTTGTCAGAAACAAACTAGCAACTCTGTCTAAATTATTTTAAATGAAATTAATTTACAATAAATGTAAACTACATTAGTGTTTCCATTTAAATTAATTTCATTTAAAATAACTTATACTTGTGACACAACTCGTTTCTGTCTACACTACCTATATAACTATTTCACATAGGTAAAAAACAGTAGCTAGTTCTATCGACACGTGTAAAGTATAATATGAAAAAACCCAATTTCTTTGTCAATCCCATGATTTAAAGAAAATAAACGATCTTAACTTTTTATGCGAGAAAATTAAGTCTGTGTGTTAGTTTTGTTTATGTGTGTGTGTGTTGTCATATCGCGTCGCCGTTAACAGCGATCGGTTGAAATTTCCTGAAACCAGCGGAGGTGTTTTATGTCACTTTTTCTGCGGTTGGCTCGTGTGAGTGGTAGTTTCACTGAAGTGAGGCACAACGCTTCATTAGACTGTTGGAATGCCTTTTAGTATATGGGGGGCGGCGGAGGAGGGGGGACGGCGGGGCACCGTGACGCGGCACGAACAGTTTTTGCTACCGCCACTATTCTACGTATATACTGCATATACTACAATGTAAATGCTACGTACGTACAAAATAGTTTTTTTTTTTTTATCTATTAACTAGTTAGTTGCTACCATCCAAAGAAAGCAATTAGATCCGTTAAAATCCAGGATTTTTTGTTATAATTATGCACACTTGTATCGTTAGAAAATAACAACTTAATTCAGAATAACAACCTAATAGAAATGTTTTTAGTCATCCAACATCAGCGACAAATGATAAGGAAAGCCAAAAAAATCTGCATATTATTGATTTGTAAATAACACATTGCAGAGATTTTCATTAAACATAATTTTCATTAAAATTAATAGCAATTCGGTGATGAGGATCGAAACCGCACGAAATGAAACCATAGAAATATAAACTTTACTGGAATTTGGAGGAAGTATAGACGGGCATACCTACTGACATAGACAAGATATATAAAACGAACAGTATTATAAGTTTTTGCTTTGAAAAAATAGAAATATTTGTTTTGATTTTAATAAAAAAATACGTGTTAAAAAAGTAGGTTAATATTGAAATTGTTAATACTCCTAAGAAAGTAGGTAATTAATTAGATAAAATAGACAGATACAGGCAAGTTTTATAGATAAGTAGAAAAAAAAAGACATATAATATCTAAATAAATCTAAACAAAGCATAAAATTGAATTTAGAAAATAAAAAAAAATATTTAAAATGTTACCTAATTTTCCTGAATATTTCTCGATATCTAGTCTATGTGTAATCTAATCTAGTTTGAACGTAGAAATACTTAATTTACGTATAATATTACTAATACCATTAATAATACTATAATAAATGAGAAAGTTTACAACGAAAGATGAGTAAATGAATGTTTATTACTCTTTCACGCAAAAACTACTAAACGGATTTCAATGATATTTGGTACACGGTTAGGTAATATCCTAACTTAGTACGTAGGATATCTGTTGATTCACACGAGTGGTGCGGCGGGATATAGCTAGTTATTATATACATGTAAAATCAAATTAAAAATGTTTAACTTAATTCATTACTTAAGGGTTTGATGTCACGTTATGCCAACTATTTTAAAAGCGATTACATACATCTCCTTCAAATAGTAAAAAGGCAAATAATAAAAAAATTAAGATGATTAACAATTACTGCAATATTTCACTTAAATTGTTACTGTAATTGTAATAATTTAATAAACACACATGTAGTGTGTGTATAACTGTTATTGGCCTAGTACCTATACTTTTTAAGTTCCAACTATGCAATACGTAATTATTTTAAAATCGTCGTAACCTTTAATAAAGAAAATACATATAAATGAAATTATTTTAATTAATATATTATAATATATTTGTACAACAATCTTATGAACATTAACTCTAATTGTCATAATATATATTTTTTTAATATTTTTTTTTAATTTAATTCACTCATAATCTTATTTATTGCTCACAACTTAGATTACATGTTTATTTTTGTTATTTACTTAAATTTCTCGCACTGTATAACTATGTTAAAGTGAATGCTGTGAATACCTATAATAGGCGTGTGCATTAATATTGTATTATATTTAATGTTTGTTATACCTATATGTTATAATGCAATATGCTGTTGGTGTTCCTTAAATAAATAAATAAATAATAAACAATCATACGGATAGTGTTGGAAAAATAAATTCTGTTTAATTTTAGTATTAGATAATTGAATTACTAACACGACATCTTATTGTTCATTAACAATTGAAATTGGCTTTAGGAATCTTTTTTTATTTTTTTAGATTCTATTTAGTTTTATTAGGAGTACAATTATTCTCGTTAACAAATACTAATTGAGTATTCCATCGAGTGCAAACTGTCACCAGCACCAGTACACGGCATTTAATTAATTTAAATTTTATGGCAAATATCTTTATTGATAATGAAAGTGGTTATGTAAATTATAATTATGTTGCTTGATATATGTATATTATACGCATACTAATCGTGTACACATCATTATTATTAACGATAGAGCAAGTGGCGAATTGGTTCCGTTAATCGATCGATTTAGTTGGCATTATAATCGATAAGAAATAAAATAATGCAAGTCTGTTTTTCTACACTGGGCACAAGTAACAAACAATTTCAGCATATCTTATTAACGAAATAACAGTTATTTATAGGAAATAAAAAGCTTTTTGTAATAAAATACTGTTTGTTTGTGTTTCATTTTTAAAATCTAAATTCGATAAAAAGAAATGCTAATATTGTTTACTATACACGCCAGGTATAAAAATAAACAAATTATATTAACACGAATTCAAATGTAAATAAGATATAGGTGTCTCACTAAAGAGATTCATACTGAAAAGTAAATTCAAACCAAATTAATACATAAAGATTAAAACATACGTCGGAATAAGTTAAAGAATAAATCAAGAATCAATGAGTTTGTGTAAAATTGTGAGATTACTAATTTAGTAAGTAGGTAACTATGCCTACTTACTAAATAAGTACATAATGAACAAAAATATTAGGTAGCAATACGATTGACCACTATTAGTTGAAAATTATCTCCAATAAGGAAAACTACTTATAGAAAAGTAAAATAACTATTAACAAGTTTCTTGTAAAACAGTAAATATCAGACGAGTTTAATTTTTAAAATTTTTAAGAACTATTTATATGTTATCCACAAAATATTATCAAAAAATTAGTAAAAAAATATAGATAACAACAATACATTCAAAAGTATGGTGTTTTTTTGTCGCACCTAATACGGGGTCTAGTCACTTGGCCCTACCTGCCGTTGTTCCCATAAATAAACCAAATACACACGACCCGAGATCATCCCTTCATTTTTTAACAGCGATTAATATATCCAAGCCATAGAGCATGTCGGGAAACGTCAAAAAATAATACTTAGTAAAATATTTACTCTGGTTTATTTAAATACTTAAGACGACAATATAAAATAGTTTAGCACTATTATGATCAATTTCACTAATAAGGACTTGTTCGCAGCGTTATATCCATTGTACCACTTCGTAACTTAGTTCACTATATACACATTTATCAATAGGTACATAGTATCATGCAGTAACATACAGCGATAATGTAACTAGGCGTACCACTGGAGCGTAAAGTTCATTTCGTGTATTTTCACTCTATTTTCAAAATACTAATTGGAGTTTGTGTTAATGAGAATGGAACGTGTGTATAAAGAAGGCAAACTTCACTTTGGGACAGTAAGAATAAAAGTCATTTCCATATTTCAATTTCTATAAAGAACTTTTTTAATATATATCATCATATACGTTGTAGGTACATTATTTTATATAGAAAAAATACCTATTTTTACAAGTATTAAGTACCAAGGTTGGCCACAAATACATACAAACGAAAAAAACAACAAAACAAGTAAAAAACAGGAATAAAACCATTTTGGCATCGTGTCTGCATCTTTTCAATAATATTTTTTTTAATAAATTATTATGTGTGGGACCTAGGTCTGTGCCGAGTGTGCCGGGAGGTCCGGGCGCGCGGCGGGCGGCGGACGGCGAGCGGCGAGCGGCGAGCAATCGTTCGAGCCTCGACACGAGCAGCGGCTGCCCACACCGCACGCTCGCCGCTCGCCGTTCACCACTCGCTGTGATACATGCTCGATAGTGGATGTATCACCGAGAGCGGCCCGCGTTCACACTCGTTTTTGTTAAACACTTAAAATAAAAATTGCACCTATTGACTCACTCGTATTCCCTTACAAGACGAAGCATCGACCCGATTCATATTTTTTACTCTCGCCATCTCGCCACTAATCATAAATTTACAGTAATAGCAACAATTTAAATTTAATCCACACCACAATGACTCCCTACTGACAGGTAGGCATGTATGAACATCGTTAATGTATAATATCTATAAATAAATTCGATGAAATAGTCCTTTACAAAAATGAATAGCGCTTCGCACTCCTCGCCGGTCGCGGCCGGCCCGTACTGTCGACAAGCGATCGTAACTCTAGGAGGCACTGGTGGCTGTACCGCGGTACAAGGATCGACTCACTGTGTAATGTCGCCGTACTTACCACACGACGAGCTGACGGCCGCGCGGCAAGGGTGCGTGAGCGACGCCGGGCTCTTCCTCCGATTAAGCTCTTATTTATCAATTAGACTATCTAGCTAAACATTATCGGTGCTCACTGTGAACCTCGGCGTTTCGATAAAGTATAAACGATTACTGGCTTCGATCTTAACATTACTCACATAATTAATCAATGACTTCACTGAAATTATAAAGAACAACTTAAACTTAGCGTTCGGGAGGTCCATGGGACGGGGCCGCACGCACGAATTATTTACAGCCGCGTCGGCCCGTCCGTCACTGTGCGCCGCGGGCACGTCCCGGCGCGCGGCGCGTATGTACACGCTATCTATGTACAGAGGTATCCCGCGGGCGGGCGCGCTAGTGCGGCTCCGCATAGTAGGGCCGCGGCGGCGCCCACGGGGCGAACTGTTAGTGCGCGGCCAGCGTGTGCGCGCCCTGCGGCAGCGCGTGCTGCGGCGACAGCCCTGGCGGCGAGTGCGAGTGCTGCAGCGGCGAGCCGTGCACGTCGCCGTGCCCGTAGTGCGCGTGCCCCATGCCCTCCATCATCTCGCCGCCGAGCGTGTTTGGCGGGGTCATCCGCTTCTCCTTCTGCCGCCGGTTGCAGAACCAGACGCGGACGACTTCCTTCTCCAGTTGCAGGCTGTCTGCTAGCGACGTGATCTCCTGCGCCGACGGTTTCGGCTGTTTGTGGAAATGCTGCTCCAGTGCGCCTTTCACTGATACCTCTATCGACGTGCGCTTCTTTCTCTTCCGCCCCTGGGCGGCTATTTTATCGATGCTCGTCGGACTGCCCGTTGTCGAGTCTGCTTCCTCGAGCCACTTTTGGAGCAATGGTTTGAGTTTGCACATATTTTTGAAGCTAAGTTGCAACGCCTCAAATCGACAAATCGTCGTCTGGGAAAAAACGTTTCCATACAGGGTTCCTAACGCAAGGCCGACGTCGGCCTGCGTGAAGCCTAGTTTAATTCTGCGTTGCTTGAACTGTTTGGCGAAGGCCTCGAGATCGTCACTCGTCGGCGTATCTTCCTCCGGTTGGTCGCGTTCCAACGCATGGTGGTGGTGGAGCGGGTGCGGGGAAGGTTGCACATCTCGCAGCATGTGATGCTGGTGCATAGGCACCGGGTAGCCGCCGTGCAGGGCGACAGGGGAGCCGGCACCATAGTGCGGGCTGACGACAGGCGCGTGCCATCCGTGCGCGCTGTGCTGCAGGTGGCGGTGCTCGTGCGGCGCCGGAGGCGGTTTGACGTCGGGCTGGTGCGCGTGAGAGTGGTGCTGGTGCATGGCCCAAGGGTCGGCCGGCGGCAGCGATGCCCACGGATTGCCGAGCACCGGCGCTCCCGGCGACGGCGATCCTCCAGCTTGCAGGTGGTGCTGATACTTCATATCCGCGGGCTCGGCGCTCCGCGGCGACGCAGCGTGGTACCCGCCGAGGTTTCCGAGGTCCATCTCGGCGGGCATGTACGTGGTCGCCGCCATGGCGCCGTACCTCAAATCCACGGTGGACGGCGTCTTGCCGGCTCGAAGGCTCTCGAGCCTTCAACTGGCGTACTCGTTCGCGAAAATAGCGCGTAGATCGCGCGGCGCTGCGGCAGCGGCGGGGGCCACCTCACATCACCGGGGACGACAGCGAGCGACATGCGCGTGCGTGCGCGACGGCAGCACGGAGCGGACTGTGGGGCGACGCGGCGCTGCGCGCGCCCGCCGCTCGGAGAGGGGCGGCCCCGCCCAGCGCCGCCGCCCGCTAATGACGATGTAATTACTGCGCCGCCCCGCGAGCCCCGCCCGCGCCCCGCTGCCCGCGCCGCGCCGCCCGCGCCCCGCGCCCGCCCGCCGCTCGCCAGCCTGTCCGCGATCGCTTGTCGGAAAATTCTGCGACGCGTTACCGAGCCAGTGGCGCGCTCCGCTCGCGACACCTGATGAGATATGCTACCGACGGCTCGTACACTGCATTGACCCTACACTACACTCCGCGCTCGCAACACTTCGGCTGTGATGCCGCACTTAGACACTAACATGTACACAATGTCATCCGTAAATGAAAATAAAATCACATGCAGGATTCAAAATTTTAATTCTCGTATGTAACAGTAAAATTATTATTACATATTTTTCAGGGCTATAAAAATATAGAAAAGAGTTACTATTTACATAATACATACAAATAATATCTAATAAATAATATTATTATTTATTTATATAATTTAATTTACACAGGAATAAAAATGTAAATGAACAAAATTTTTATGTTAAAATTGTTTAAAGGTTGTCTCTACTATAGAGATATTTTGCCGAGGTAAAGTTGTAAGAAAAAGAACTTACAATACGCCTACTATCATACTTCACAAATATATGTATATTTAACATAACTGCTCATCGTATTCTATATTCTATTACCTATACTAGACACTCGATTAGGAAATAAAAATTTTAGTGTTATTTATGGTAATGATCCTAATATGAAGACAAAATTGCTGCAATAATTTGACTCTCATTTACTCTTAATTGGTGAAACTTTTGTTATAAAAAATACATTATATACCTAATTCATGGGAAATTATATTTAATAACCGTTAGCATTATTATATACTAGAATAGGGTAACGTTATTTAATACCTCGCCTGATGTACGAGACATCAGATACATACAGCAGATACAAATTCAGCATGACTAAGAATATACAGAAAAATACCCTCTTTTGGGGCCCGCGGCCTATATTCAGCAGCGGACAGTAGACGGCTGGTATGATGATAATGATGATTAGAATATAAACCGTATTACTACAGATACAATATGAATAGGTATATATTATATGGTATACATTAATAAAAAATGTCTCAGTAAAATTATTTTAAATATTGTAAATAATTTCAAAGTGGAAAGAATTATTTACATATGTGAATGTACAAATTAATATGACAAATTATATGTTTACAAGTTATAATATTATATGTTTACAAGATAGAATATTTTATATATATTATTATATGTTTACAAGTTATAATATTATATGTTTACAAGTTACTCTCTACGGTAGCTTTATTTAATGCTGTCTGAATATCAATAAAACCGGCCCGGGTTTTAGTTACTGATTTATAATAAATATTTATAATTAAAAATAAACAAAAAATAAATCAAACGGCAGCTAATCACACCGACAACTTTGTTAATAACACTATTATCATTACTGTGGGTACGATCTACCCTACCCACTTTAAAAGTAATAGTCTATTGTGGTAGACTTATGTTTGTAGGTACGTATTGATGACCGAAATGATGATGATGCTGATGATGTAAATTACATTTTATTGACAGTTTATTTAAATAAATTAATAAATTTAATTTGAAATATAAATTATATATTTTTTTTTTATTTTCATGTTCAAAAAATAAATCGTTTATTAATTTTGTATGTTCAAATTGTATCCTGATCCTTTTAAGATTTTAGTTCATCAGTTCAATTCAATATATAATATTTAAATATTGAACTGAAATGATAAATTAACATAATAAACACACTTGTCATTGCAAGTATAGAGTCAATTTGTCCCTTTTTCTCATACTATTTTTTTTTTTCTTTTATTTAATACTAACAATTATCTATGAATTCATTATAGTTTCTTTATTATTAAAATTTGTTACCCATTTTTTATTCCACAATATATTCGTATACATATATCTAATTGTGTATTTATATAGTACTTTCTATTTGACCTTTTGATTAATTATACATTATACTTGCCTAATTATAGAATTGCTGCAGTTTGCGAGTAAACATATTTACACTATCTACCTGTCTATGTAAGTGGTAAAATTGTTTTAAAATTATACAATACCAATTTACTGTACAAACATAATATACTTATTTTCTGATTTCGGTCAATCAGTTTTCTTATATCTAGCTCGTGAAATACGTTAGTGCTACAATACAAGTACCTACGTAATATTTGTTTTGAAGTATTGTTACTTAACATATGTGAATATTATTAATAATTCTTTGAATATGATTTTTAATGTATGAGCTTCACTACTTTTACTATCGTTCAATTGTAATGTTAATAATTATGCGACGAGTTGTGTTGTGAGGCCGCCGCCGCGACGGCCGCTCGCACGGGCCGCATTGCAAATTGAAGAGAGGCCCCACGTCGACACTCCTAACGCCATCTGTTATCGGATAGATGAACTAAAATATTGTCGGAACATAAGATGCGATTATTTTTAAAGGTTGTTATTAACTTTTATAAGTTTTTTTTATTTTAATGTGCCTTCCATCATAATACACAGTCTTTATAAAAGAAATTAAATAATTTCCAAAAATTATTATCTATAAAAATGATTAATCTATATCAAAACTTATGAAGATAAGTATAGTAAAAATGTATATATATGTATGTATGTATACTGCATTAAATTTGCATTGAATTGAGAATAAATTTATTAAAAATATTATAAACATATAGTTTATAAAGTATTATAATATTTATACTTTATTATGAAGACCGCAAGTATAAAAAAAAAATATAAATTAAAAAAAAAACATTAATGTTGAATCTTATTAACATAAGTTGTCAAAATAGTATTATAAATAGTTAATGCATTAGTTTTATTTTATTAATGCTCAAAATTGAATTTTTTAATATAATTTTTAATTTAACACAAATATCTATAAGTACATTGAACTGCATTACTAAGACTTGTGACTGAATAATTGCGCTATCTAACGACGCGTAGCGAAACTACGGAGACCAACCCCTGTTTACGGGGGTTGGTTGCGTAGTAAGTTTGTGTGCCGCGTAAACAGAGGGGTGACGTTCCGATGGGCTCCTAGCGGGTTGAATACATACAACGTAAAATGTGTCTTTTTTTTTAATTGACAGGGAGACAATGCTATTGAAATGAAGCTACAGCGGCTATAATATTACAAGTACAGTGCTGTATTAAGCTAATCTAGCGACCTATACTGATAATAAAAATATAATTTATACTTATAATAAATCTGTAGAGAGGTCAATTCTGTACATGAAATATATTTCCAAAATAACTATCGGCGGGTGATTAGTGATCGATACTGATGCCAAAAACGCAATCAGTAAAATTTTTGTCTGTCTGTCTGTCTGTATGTATGTTCGTTATAGAAACAAAAACTACTCGACGGATTTTAACGAAACATGGTACAATTATTCTGCATACTCCTGGGCAGGTTATAGTATACTTTTCATCACGCTACGATCAATAGGAGCAGAGCAGTGAAGGGAAATGTGTTTGTTACATCAAAACCACGGAACCGTGAGGAAGGACATAGGCTACTTATTTTACGAAAAACGACGGAAACGCGGACGAAGTCGCGGGCAACAGCTAGTTTAAAAATAAAATTATTAAAAATAACTGCTACTCATCTAGAATCTCTATGGGCATATAGACACTACTTTTGTACACAAATATAGTTATATATATAAAATAGAAAATACATACATAAAATATTATACATATACATATACATATATATACATATATATATATACCTATATATATATATATATATATATATATATATATATATATATATATATATATATATAGCATAGGTACATTTGCATTAGCATGCAGGCGTTCATAGGCTACAGTGACCGTTTACCATCAGACAGGCTGTATACTTATTTGCCGCCTACTTCGTTCACAGTAAAAAAGATGTAAAACAGTAAAACGGATGGTAACCCTTCTAACTTTTTAACTACTATTTTTTGTGATGTTTTACTTGAATTTGCATCAAGTTTACTGTTAGGTACTTACTTGAAAACAGAAATAGGTTAGACAGTAGTAACTCAGACAAGACATGTTGCTCTCTCACCGAGTGCAATGTTTCCAAATTACATTATTGCGTAATAATAATAATCTGAACATAATCCCATTAATATTATAAGTGTGACAGTTTGTAACGATGGATGAATACAAGGAATTTGACTAAAATTTTGTACACAGGCAGTTTACATCCTAACTTAGTACATAGGCTACTTTACTGATTCACGCGGACAAAGCTGCAGAATATCACTAGTTTATAGTGAAGTTGAAAACACAACGTTGAAATCTTATGAACATGTGTTAATGATTAAAAATTACATAATATTATTCAAATTAAATTGTATTAAATATTTTAAAAAAATTGACTTTAATTCATAACAATAATATCATATTATTACTCGTATATTATGATAGTATAGTATAATATAGTATTTATGTACTTATTTATTTGTGTAGGTGTTTATATGCATGTATGTGTGTATGTGTATGCGTATGTGTGTATATGTGTTTATATGTATGTGTATATATATATATATATATATATATATATATGTGTGTGTGTGTGTGTGTATATGTATATATATGTATATAATAGTGAGTAGGGATATATATTAACATTATTACATGTATCACATCTCTATATTTTAGAAATAATAGAATTTTCATCGTGCCTCCGATCCAACTGTTTATAATTGCTCCTCTCCATCCAAAGGTTGCCTGGAAGAGATCGCTCTTAGCGATAAGGTCGCCCATTGTTTTCTCATTGTGATTATTTCTTGTAATTGTTTGTATTTATAATAGGTGCTGTTGTAATCTTTTGGAGGAAACAATAAAGAGTATTTATCTATCTTTGATAAATAAAGACATACATTTAAAATTCAATCTATCGTTC